CAAATATTTTTACAACTACGCATAATCCCTCAGGAGAGAAGGGGGTAAAAGCGACTCAATAGAATTACACCTACTGCTGAGCTAGTAAAGGAAAGGAAAGACGATTTTACGGAAAACGATACCGGGTGTTCGTTTTCCTTTTCTAGCATGAGCGGATGTAACACGGCAACGTAACGCAAAACAAGGCCTATCCGACTATCCTGACGAATATGACGACCGCATATAGAATCAATCAAGCATCAAAAATGGAGATTCAAGCACTTCAATGGACAACTGATAGAGCGGAAGCTACTTGTGTGTGGCAAGCTTACCGTACTAATACTTATCAACTGGCCCATGAATTTAGGAGATTGAACGCGTATAGAACAACTTACAGAGCTTACCTAAAACATTAAATGGGCCTGAATGAAACCCTTGGAAGATATTCATGGGTGTGTCTATTCAATAGGCCAAGCTCTGAATAGCTTGTTGCCAAAGCGCTCAAGTGTTCAGTTTGAAAAATATATCTATCTATCTATATGATAATAAATGTAATAAATAAAAATTGTGTATCGTGTAGGCGAGGCGCAATCTGCCGCAGAAATTATATTCTACTAGTAATATTATTTGAAATTATCATATTATTATTATTATTATTATATCCTTAATGTCTTCTGTCACATCTCTTCTGGTTGTGGCTAATATTTCCGTATGTCTAATAGGAACAAAAGCGCGTGTAAATGCTTCAATGACCTTTCTACGGTTACATCCTCCAAGGCCTAACGATCATCCCTGTAACTGTAATGGAAAAGAAAAAATTACTTCGAAAACATTGATTTGCTAGAATTAAGTGAAATTAATATATTCGTATATGAATGTGATTGGCGACCAACAGGAAGCATTTGGCAGTAATCAATAAAGTACTTTGGTAATATGCAGATATAATGCGATGATTTTTTTCACTATGGACCCTTTTGATTCATTAATTATTGACTGTCTGACTTCATCTTGTGCCTTCGAATGCCTATTGCCCTTACGGTCCAGCAGTGTACCGTACCATAGCCCTACTTCCATAACTAAATCCAATTTATTCGTTTCAGTAGTTGGACATTGGGGGTTCCAGAAGAGGTTCGAGCGCTCGTAAGCGGTGCAGTGTGTGAACCTAATGAACGACTGTAGAAATACGCTGCGAACCTTTGTTAGGAGCAGGATTGAATAAAGATGTATTTAGGGCTGTTCTTATGTGCGTTTTTAATTTTTTGGGGTGCATCTAGTACGAAGCGAACGGAGAGCTTGTCGTCAACGGCCATCCGAAGAAGCGATGGGTCTGCTAAATGCTACCCAAAAATCGGTGCAATCGCTACCTGTTTCAGTGGTGTCTGAACTTCGTTTACCACCAGATAATACCACACATTTTACCACAACAACCTTATTCAGTCGCATTGTGATATCTCTTTGACCATCTCGCTTCGCTGTGGGCGGCAGTCTCAAGCCCAGACTCAAAACCGACCGGATCGTCAGGGGGAAAAAGAACGGTCTTTTCATAGAGCGTAGCCAGCCCATTGCGACGATCACAGTATTCCGACTGGGGGTAGCTAGACTTCGTAAACACTTCGCTTCTACTTGCATCCTAGCTGCCTTTTCAATTGTGCCTGAATCAGACATTACGCAGGGCTGTTGCTGATATACGAAGCGGCAGCGGACTAACCGTAGATACGTAGCAGCGACACATGTTTCAGGAGATTACTAATTTTAAAATGAACATTTTTCAACGCTTCAATTATTTCTAAACGGGCACCCCCACGAAGCCATTCATATGCACATCCGTAAGGAAGTCCAATTTATTACCGTCAGTTTTTGTGTAGCGATCTTTTTTCGTTGGCCTGCATACTTTTACTTCGTATAACCTAAAACCTTACTACGCCTGTCTTCAATTAGATTAGCTAGAGGTAACTTCACAAACTTCCTTCAAACCTGCACGCATCGTTTAACAGCGACTATGTCAATTGTTAAAGGGACGACTGAAAGAAAAGATAAAAAAAAAACTAGAATAGCTAGCTAAATAAAAAAAAAAACCATGGATGGTTTACATGCCCCCGTCGATCTTCAGATTTGTAAGTTTTAATGTGAGTAAATGAGGTACATTGAAATATCTTGAGCCCTCTATAAAAACTGAATTCAATCAGTATACAGCGAATTTAGTCCTATTCGAAGTATGTGTACGCACTAGTGTGGACTTTTTACTAGATATATATATGAAAATGTCAGAAATGTAAATGAAGCATAACTTCGTTCACATATGTATAACCGACTTAATTGCTCTACGGAAGTGCAAGTTATCAACTAAAAATACGATGACATTTGTTGCGGAAACCCTCATTGATCTAGCCGTCTGTGTTCTTTTCAAATGTCCTGTGTCCTCAGCCCTTCCAGGAAATAAAAAAATCGCATTTTCCCACAATAAGACAAATCTAGTATATTAAAGCAAGTCAATATTTTGATCTCTACGTAAATCTTTATTATTGTTCCCTTCGCAACAAACGATTGATAGCAGGAATACACTAGTGTGTCAATGTACACGTATAATTTTCACAATTTTTATTTACTTGCTGTATTGTTTTAGGTCGAATTAGGTTGCCGCATCGCTGGGGTCCTCAAACGAATGAATGCATTATCCTCTGACAAAGGCGGCCATAGCAGCCATTTACTTCTACTGGATCGTTCGAGCTGGATTAGTTCCCGCCATTTTTGTGCGACGAGCCAACAGGATGGAGCGCGAAACGTTTATTATTATTATTTAATAATTTTTATTATTTATCTATTTATTATAAAGAATTAAGGCCTTCGCTATAAATAGCGGAGGAAACCGGTAGCTTTGACCTAACCTGGCCGGCTTGGGGCGCATTGGTTATGAGCTGAGCTGATCTCTCCGTAGAGGTTCTTTGTATGTGGGTCACAAGATATCAGGGTAGCTGAGTGAGGCAATTCGAGTAGACTGATCGTAGACGGATCGAGCAGAAAAACGTTGTCATGAGATGAAGACTCTGTACGAAATAAACGAAACATAAGTTTCGGAACCGTGAAATCAAGTTGATCTCTTACAAAGGGTTGTTAACATTTCATTCTGAAATGGATATTATAATGATACAGAAGTAACTCAAACTTTATGTTAAAGGCAGGTCTCATAGGCATAGAACGTTTCTAGACAAAGATTGGAGTTAGAAGACCGAAATGATTTCCTTTAAGGTTCGGACGCACATCTTAAAATATTCGGATTTTACCTAGCCTAAAAATTGCTTGATTTATTTTGATGTATTTGGACAACATCCGTCTGATCTTTTTTCGTCAGGTAAAAACATGGATGAGTAGTCAATATGATGAGTATCAATTCATTTTTTTGCGACGCAGCCATTACAAACTTTTAACGTAAGTTAACTTTTACACTGTAAACTAACTTGCGCTTACTCTTACAGACTTTGTTATTCCGGCGATATTCGCGTAATCAAGACACCGCATTGATGGCATCCCTGCTGATTCGTTCTGCGCAATGGACGGTTTTTTCGAGTAGCCGATTGCCAAGATCAGAACTAAGCTCCGATTGCTTTAAACAACAGCGCCATTATTACAGTAGATGAAGGTGCTCCGGTGGCTGACCCACTAAATGTTCACGATGTTTTCGCCAGTTTTCATAGGGCATTTATCGATCGAACTATCACGTGACGGTGGACAATTGTTTGCGGGGCAAATACTCGGACAGTCGAAACAATGACATTGTAGATATTTCTCTACCTGATAGTTGTTTGTTGAATCCAGAACTCATCTGAGCTAAACATTATTCCCGTCCTCAACGTTTTATCTGATCCTGTTGCTCGGAACGTTTTGTAATTAACATACCAGCGCTGCACATTTACATTATGACGATATGTATCGGAAAACATATAGGCCAACCGATCTAATATCGTTAGGAAAAACCCTAACTAGAAAGATGACGAACTATGCTACAAAAATCAATATGCAGCTGAAAGCATTCATTACATTCAAGTAACTAGTTAACGGCCTTGATTGAAGATAGAAGATGAACGATACGTTGCTCAAGTTATTTGTAGATACGGCGTTAACAAAGCGTCCTAGCTAGGCATGAATTGTGCTCGTCGAAAATTAGTGGAACAGGTCCGTATACAATAATAATAGTAAGTTATAGTAGTAATACTGTGATCGAATCACAAAGCCCATCCATAGCTATATATATGTATATTTCATGCTTTAAACATCCCTCTACGACAGTCTCTCTACGAATATGGCAAAAAGTAATGTCACCTTCTGTACTAACGACTTCTATGGAACGATAAATCGACAGTTCTCTACCATCATTGAAGCTGTCACCTCACTTGATAGGACAACTTTGCAAAGTCACATTCATTGAAATTTGTCTTCGTTCTTCTAGGACATAATGCGGTAAAAAAGAAACTTGAGAACGGCTGAGAGAAATCGATAGCTGAAGTTGTGCCTAATTTTTTGCCTAGCTGAAGCGGAATTATTGAGAACTTCATCAAGAGGCTATGTCCGATATATAACGCTATTCGGTAATTCGTTTTATCTATTTCATAGTTACCTGTTTCAATTAGTTCTGAGATTAACTGGACGGCTGACCTTGCAAGGCCAAGATTTTTAAGTCTTCGAGTCGAACTGATACAATTGATGAAATAGCTGATTGTCTATTAAATAAAGTAGAGCAATTTCTGATTGGACTCTTATTTCTCTGACCCCATTTCAGCCATCAAAAAAACTTACTGGCATATCTTTTTCGTAGTACTTTGTGATGAGGCATGTAAACGCTGAGTTTTATATATCTTTTCGAATGGTTTCTACTATCGATATTGTCCGTTTTTGTTTCCGACCCGCCATCGTCATTGTCAACCTCTCTTGATCGTACCCCCATCATCATCAGCGGCCGTTTCGTCCCAATTTATCCGCATCTGTTCTTTCCAGATCTTGTATTACTGCCGTCTGCGCTGCACGGCATGTCGGCCGAATCAGTCGGCAGCAACTGCTGGACAGGCGATTACGATTCTGAGGTACCCTCGCTTCCAAATCCCTGGCGTGACGGCGGCACGCTCACTGTCAGCGTTCATCGTCATCGACAGAGTCTAATGCCGGCAGCGACATGCCCTCCAATCAGTTTAAACCAGCATTCACAACACGTGTTAGCGTCTAGCGATACAATTATTCCTGTTCTGCAAACAGATGCCGGAGCGATTCTCGAGCTTGAGGACGATGTGCAGGAAGATATTAGGAAGCATATAACGACACGGGACAGTGTTCATCATTGCCGTCACTGCGAGTACCGTACAACGTTCCTAGGTGATATGAAGGCTCATTACTATCATCGGCACGCGGCCGTGAAGCCGTTCAAGTGCTTATTTTGCGGGATGCGGTTCGCCCGCAAGAACAGTCGACGTCTCCATATGATGACGGTGCATACAAATCAGCGTCGATACCAGTGTCCTCATTGTGACAAGACATACGGTTATCGCTGCCACATGAGGCGGCATATCAGGGTCGTGCATGAGGGTGGCTGTTATTAACACCAGCTGCGATCCAGTGACTACAATGTCAATAATTCTATCAGAATTCGATAGATTATGAAATACGGGGCATAAAAAATAGCTTGAGAAATAGATTATATGATGAAGATGAAAATCAACATGGCGTTATTCGAGCTGACGATGTCAATCGTCGTGCTAAAGTATCTGCTGGACAAAATGACAGTCCGATGATCCACTGACCCAAGCAGATGTTGCCGTATTTCGTTAATTTGTTTGTGCCTATTTTAGGCAGAAATGAAACAGATCAAATAGACAGACAATGTCGGGGTATCAATGGTGCGTGAGAAGACAATTCTCTATTTTGTTTCCTGAGAACTGATGCGCTGTTACACTGCTTAGTACTAACCTAAAAGCTTGATCTGTTGTTAAATGTTTTATATTAGGTCTTTATTAGTGGTCCGTCGCGTATATCTATTATACATTTTTTACATTATACGAAAATTATACACTTTTCGTGTGTCTTCCGAGAGCTTATAATTCTACACTGAACGCTATCTTTTCCTGTTTAGTGCGATAAAAAAAGAACGAAATGCATACCGCATCATTTCAATAGATTACGTGTATCTCAGAGGAACATAAACATAGTGAAACGGAGTAATGAAGCTGCTCTCCTGGCATAGAAGAGGCAGGTCGTGCAGGAGTCGACGATACTCCTAAAGGTCGCTCCCATGGAATACCTACAATAATGCTCTCGTCGAGATCAAATTCATATTCGCTGAGAAAACGTTTGATTCATAGCAACACGTTAGGCGTAGCGTGCTATGGGAGTTCAATAAGATTTGTCTTAGTTGGTGCGGATTATATCGGGCGACAGGCGTTTACTTTGTTCGTTATACTAGTCACGCATTTCTATAACAAGTCGGTTACGTTACGTTACGTTATACGGAGCCCCAGAGTCGCAGAAAATCGACCTCATATGATGCTGTAACGACTGAGAAAGCCAGAGACATCTTTCACCATTCGTTGAAGATAGGCCATGATCGTTATAAGGATGCACTTCGAACCCTTTGTAATGATGTTTCTATAAGCGACTGTGAGTGGTTCCATGTCTGAGTCTTTTTTCGCTTCCGGCTTTTTTCGTATCTATATACGAAAAAATAGCTTTTTTCGTATCCGGAAACCGTAAGTTCGTTGCACGTTTGTGGCATGCGAGCGGTTTCGCTCTACTTCGGACTGCTGTTACTTAACGGAATCTCGAAAACGAGGATAAGTTATAGCCTCAGCCATAGGTGCAGTGTATAAACAACAAATTATGTTAAATAAACAAAGCACGTCGTGACCGTACGACAGTTTTCGTTAAAATTGATGATATCAAATTGTTATCCGTTTAGAGCAGGAGTAGACATTTTGCTGCAATGATTTGTGTCAATAATAAATAGTAAACGTTACGCAGATTTATCTTAACGTAAACGATTCACTAGAACGTTTGAAGTCAGCTGTGGATGGACTGATATTTAGTCAACTTTTAACGATGCCATCACGGTCGAGGGGAAACAGCAGGTAATGTTTGAAAACTTGCCCGTATATAATTAACAAGTTAAAAGTATTCGTCCTTTACCTGTACAGTTCGAAACGTAATTAGGTATTCGACAAAGTCAACAGGTGGCTACGAAGAAAAATAATATTTGATATAACTCTCGTGAATTAGATCAATCTTTTCTGCACGGAAATATGGCCTACAGTCGAACGTACGATAAGCTCCCTAAAGTCACCCCCGGACCCCCTTACGCGATAGACCAACTGTATTCAGTATAAAGCTTAGGCCCCTAATGTGATCAATTGACTTTACATCATTACTTCGAACGTCGCTCGGAGAAAGCCTTCATTTATATAGGTATATAGAAACTTCAATGAATTTAGATTTATGAGGCAAACTTTCCGTATCTAACTATCTTGTTTTGGTCAGGAATTTCAACGTGTTACGCTACGGATACTTACGTTGTCATGTATTTGTTTACCGTGCCCATTAAAGACGTTTTAATCTAATATCAACATGATTTAAGAGCATTTTCACTAACAAAGAGCATACTTCCAGCCGCAACTTTTCTTCTCTACTTTCGGCCTAACTCGCGGTTGGCCTTGAGAGCCAGCTTCAGTCTACAGCAAACTGTGCTAATATTTAAGGACGCAATCGTGCCCGCCTGTAAAAGACCCACTTCACAGTATGGCAATCATATGATCAATAAAGAATCGCACACAGTCCCTTGCGCGAAGACTGCCTTTGCTTTTGAGTGTTGTCTGAGTAATTACGATATAGTCTGCACTGCATGCAAACATTGATTTGTGTGACCGAACAAACGAAACACAAGCCAGTCCCTGTTTAAGTGGTACACTCTCAACTGAAATGTGTATAATAACGCGGATATTATGTTTATAGTTTAGTAATAAAGTGTCCCGTTTTTTTCCTTTGGCTTGGTTTTTAGTTCATATTCTTTTCTTAATGAAACCGCAAACCTTCGTTCGATTTGTTATTTACGACAAAGCTGTCGTTTTTAATTTCTGTGATTACACCGGTGACTCCGGGAGACGCACGGGTAGGTATAAAATCAATATAATTTGTTTTATTTATTGAAAGTTGACATTTATTGCAACGGTCGTATTTACGGCATTACTGATAATCATATTTTTACTGTTTCGTTCTTATTCAGTTGACATTTTGTGAATGATTTGTGTGGCCGCTACGACAGCGACGATTAGGGTCTGCCCTATAGCGAGATCATCACGTCTGACAGTTAATATATCTCTTTCAGACATCGTATATGAGGTCGCTCCCCGATCGGTGCCTCCACCATACGACGACGACGATCCTCAAAGGGGAGATGAGCCCGATGATATTACATCCGCCGAAGGCGTGTTCATTACAGTCGGCGGTGACTCGTCACTCACCCTCGAAGACTATGCCATGATGCGTGATGGCCTCTGGTGTTGCTTGCTATGCGACTACCGAAACCCGCGGACACGCTTAATCAAACGGCACTTGTCCTCGAATCATGCCGGCCTCCGACCATTTCGATGTGGCTGCTGTCACAAGACGTACGTAGACAAATCTGGTCTTGTACGACATCAACTGATGGCGCATCGGGAAAAGCCCATCCGCTGTCCACATTGTCCGGCCCGGTTCTCGCTGCCATGGCTCTGTCGACAGCACGCCAAGAGGGTGCACCCACATGAACCGGACTTATAATCATATTAGTGTAGGCGCTAGAATGTAAATAAGGCCCGGTTATCGGCTGCACACGTACAGAAATGATATTAACTTAGAACAATCCACCGAACGATTATTCATCGATGTAGCAACCCACGGTCACAAGCCCGGCAGACGGGAACACAGCATTTGTAACAATTTAGTTGTTTTTTTTTCTCTATAAGCTAGGTTTTTCCGATATAATAAGTTGTCCTATTTACAAGCGCCAAGATAGTTGGTTTTAGAGAAAATTAAAAATGGACTTAACATTTATTTAGCTCCCATACATGTATTCACGTACCGAAATTCGTTAATTTTACTGATAACGTAAAGAACGTTTAGCATGTTGCATGGAGGTTACCATTATTTAGAGGTAAATGAGATATCTTCAAGGTCTAACAGCTTCAATATTAGCTCTATAACAATTGTTGTTGCCATGTTCTTCGAGTTTCTCTACAACGGCAATTTTAAATAGGACTACTTCGTTATACGTGTGAATAGGTGCGTTAAAGGTCTGAAGATTGAAAATCGGATCGGTATAGTGCGCTATATGAGCGGAGAGCTAATGTCCTGAATGCTTACTTCTGTCTGGCGTAGAGGAAGCCTCAATGAGTGCTGACTGGGAAATGCTTGTCGTTCGACCAAGTCAGCCTTCCTTTCCTCTTCTAAGGCTCGTTCTAAGGCTCCATTCGACCCCATTAACTGTACTCGCCTGTCCCTCAATGGGATGTGGCGATTTCTAGGCTTTTGTGTCACATTACTTTTTTAGCGGGATGATTCTCAGTGAAAGTCACAACAACGATAAGTCATTGACAGCTATCTTCGTTGACGCAAAAATAAGGCCTCACCGCATTTCGAAGAATATATCATTATTTAAATATAGGCGTTCTGCAGAAAGGAAACTGGCTTGAACTAGTGACCCTTGATAAGGCCTGTAGAGACGAATAGACAAAACAGTAGTTGTCCTAAACGTCGTTCAATCTTCGTCGTGTACATTCTGTATGAAACAATTACGTCATGAATATGTTTGTACATTGAAAAGACATAGAAACGTACACACTGGTGCATACAGACACACATTCTCGTAGAGTTGTAATTAAAATAGTTGCTTCATATAGAAGTTTAGTATACAAAAAGACAGAGAGTATATAATAGCGAAGAAAGACTCGATGTAGAACGGGCGATGTGCTACACATCTTCACCGTATGCCAACCACATGAACAATGATGATCAAAAGAATAATGACAAATAATATATTCCTGCCATTACGTTACCTAACGCATCACCCCCTCTAAGTCACAGTGGAATGAAGGGGAAGAATTTATTTGTTATTTTAGTAAATAACCCTTCATGTGATAACGCTACTTATTTGATCGGTATAAATAAGCATTTGCCAACGCCTATTCTGGCTGTCATACATGCTACCTTCTTAGTTAGAACCATACAGCAATATCCTGTAACTCACTATATTATGTAAAATATAGTGCCCGTCATAGGGTCCTTGTGAATCATAGCCTGATTTTTTTAATTTCAAGCATTAGTATTGGCTAAATATCTCAGCCTAACTCGGTTCAGAATCGGTTCACGAGCCCTATGGCGACTGATCTCGTGTGCGAGATAATGAGTCACCTATTATATTCGTGCGCGCATGAGACGAGCCACCTCTCTATCCGCGTCATCGTAATACCCACCGTTCTCTGCTTATTGCCAATGCGTTGTATATGATATATAGATAGACATAAATACATACATTCAGTTATCGCGATACAGTACCGGGTATTTATTACCAGATCTCTTAACTTTGTTCTCGCCTACAATAAAAGGAAACCTTTTCCGTTGATCGTACGAATCTGGCTAAACGTCTTCATTTGTATCGATGGTTGTGATTTGCATGTGACGTGGATGATTCTTCTCTTGTAACTACTGATTAAACGCTTATTACTGAATGCAATTCAACGTTTCGTTGCACGTATACAGCGGGGCAATTTCGTTTCCCACAGTGCAATTTCGAAGCAAGATGGCTACCCCCCATCGGTCTGCCGACGGTGTCGGCAACAGCGTAGTCTAACATCATCATATACGAGCTAACATGAATAACAATCGAACGCTTACGTATCGAACAACAGCTAACTTTTACCTGTTTATTACAGATCTTGCCAACAGCCTCAATGAGAGTGGACTTGTTCTCAGCCGACTTAATGCCAATGGAGTTTCCGTTCAGATTAACGTCATCGAGGGCACTCCCTCAGCACAGCAACGACGTATGGCGTCGCAGTCTCAAGAGCTGCTAAGCCAGCTTGGCCCACCGCAACAGACCTTAGCTCCCATGGACGTCCTGGATGCATCGAAGAGCCCTACGCTACAAAGATCGGAGCGGCTGTACAGTCAAAACAGTGGCCCCAGCGGCGCCAGCCTGGCTCAGGCAGGCGCAACTCAAGATGAGACTGAAGTCGGGTCGTTGCCCGTGGGCGCGTTAAACTTCAAAGAGCACCTCATGCGCGTCGGGGAGCTTCACCTATGCAAGGTGTGCAATTATAGCAGTAAACACTACAGCCACGTGCGCCGCCACATCATCACCATACATCTTGGCGTCCGGCCATTTAAGTGCAATTACTGTCCGATGTCGTTCTGTGACAACTACAAAAGAACCAGACATGAACGCAAGAAGCATCTTGGAGCCGTGGAGAATCTACAAATCATGGCGCATGTACCCTGTCCGCACTGTGGTGACCAGCTAACGTTGTTCGACCTTCAGCATCATATGGCGACTCAGCATGGAATGACACTCAATTCAATTGTGTAGCGGAAGTCGCTGAACTGATGAACCTATCTAAACGACAGATATTTCCGTTGAATCACAAGCTAGTATCAGTAAATGATAACAGAATACAGCAGATGAAGATACCGATCGAAAACAAAGCATAATCGATATTTGGAAGACACTGTAAATTTCTGTGATTTACAAGTTTAGACTAATACTAGACCTGCTGCGTGCATATCGTGAAATTGTATTTCAATCATACCTCGTATTAACTTAATTGAGTGCGACACAGAACGACCTTCCCAGAAGTAAAGTTGGCTGTACGTAACTAAATGAGTGTTGTTTTTCATACGCGCGCGTCTACGCGCGTATCGTGCTACGGCCCATTGACAAAGCAGTAAGCGTTCGATGGGCGGACGTGTATCAATGGCCATCTAATTAATGCCTTGCTCAGGGCGCAAGGTCCACCCGTAATGAGACACGCGTATCTCTGCATTTACTCGACATTTTAACGTAGGGCTAGTTAGACGGCTTAGTCAAGCCGGACCCAACGAGTGTTCAAACCGGTGAATCAATTTTTCAAACGTATTAAGGTTTATTTATTAATGACAAATAACTATTGAGCTCGAAACAGCTAAGGATTGTTCTCCTGAATGGTAAGTGGATCCAAATGGCACATGATTGAGCCCGACTGATACTGATCACAACATCAGTCGCAGTATTTTTGATTGAGGGCAAACTGCGTAGCAAATCTGTCTTATAGTAAATGCTATAGTTTTATAACAGGTAGTATTTGTCGGTCAGGTTGGTACTAAAAATGCATACTAGTAGCAGCAGCAGCAGCAGCAGCAGCTATATTTTTTAACGATGCCACAAATATGAATTAAAACACATTTAAAATGATCGCTTTTAGAAATTTTTTTTAGAAAACGGATTTATTATAATTGTAAGATAGTCAATACGAATCGTCAAATTTATACCCAATTCGCTGTCAGAATTGCTACTGTCCATAGCGATGAAATTTAAAAGTCAACCCGTGTATATAAATAGATACCCAATCATTAACCCAAGTTTAACGCCCTTACGAAGACTCAGCTAGCTAGCTAGCTAGCTAGCTAGCTGAGAAGATACCGAAAATTGTTCGTTTTTCTGCAATATGCCTTTAACTTAATTGACGAACTTCGGCGATATATAAATTAACTAGATGCTATAGCACAGTAGAACACACTACTAATAACTAAAATGATGGTCCGATTTTAGATAAAGCTTGTTATTACGATCTAGCAACGTATTATTGCAAGTCTACCCGTGACCCAATTTGTGTAAATAAAGAATGGCATCGCTAATGACCATGTCGAGTTGACCTCAGCCAATGGCCTGTTCTGACAACGGCTTAGGGTGAATTAATACGTGACCGAAGGAAGACGGCCCTTTCCTCACTCTGTTGGCCTAAATCAACGTTCTTAAATCGAGGAATCATCGTCCAGTCGGCTATTAGGCGAACCCGTGGCGTAAATTCAGCTTATCTAATAGCGGCGTCAATTTGTTAGCAGGACGATTTTGCTCGGTCAAATATACAAGCTCAATCTCTCAATGGACCATAAGTACCGAATACATAAATAAGACAAATCCATTATGATAAACTTGAGACAGTTCCGACCTACGACGTTAGCATATTATAGTTCAGTATCATATCCAGTATGTATGTTATCCAATATCACATATTCAAACAACTTATAGATATGATTACCATTATGAATCTGTCATTGATCTCTTCTTCTTAGACCTATTCATATATATATGACATTGGGTGTACTATATATATATATATATATATATATATATATATAGATATGCGTATAGATGGTTCCGTCACTTTGTTGCTCCTATGTCCGTGTATTACTACTGAGGTGGCAGGGTAATGGTAACTTGAATAATAGATAACAACAACGAGGTACTTCATTTGTTCGAAGCGAATCTTTGGCGCCGGGAAATTTTGAACGAATGCTTCCCTAACCTGTAACGAGGGAACCTTCCCAACAGCCTATAGTACGAACATAGCAGAGCTTAGCTGCCAACTTGAAAAAAACTTACATTATGCCTGAATTTGAAGAGGATTATTTTGTCTAGATAGACCATATGGTACGAAAGTTGTTCTGCTATGAAGTGAACGAACAAAAAGCTATATTATGTAGAAGAAGTTACCTTTTTTATATGTATTTGCAATTAAATAAAATAAATGTTATTTTCAATTATAAATTGTGTTGTAACTCTAGATAGCGATAGTCCGAATGTGGTTCCACGTGGTCAGCGTAAGCATACGCATAGTCACACGTCAAACTGTGTATCAGAGCAATTTATCTGAAACTTATCTAGTAGTCTTTTGCAGGTAGAGCTACAATTATCTTGGTTTCGACGCCCACCAAATCAAAAACGCATCTAATAATGCCTTATGATTGCAGATATTCCGGGAATGGCTACTGAAGAAAGTTCATGACGGCCTTTGAAACATCTCCTATGTTTTTTTTCATACCGACAGGAGTTTTCAGCCGACAGGAGTTGAGCTCTATTCAGAGTACCATCTTTCTCGTCAAGGGCTATTCAATGTTTACGCATCTACACGCTGACACCGCAACAATAATGGATACCGACAGTTGTACGAACGCCGTGGCCTTTAAGAGGCGATTTTCCTGCGGTGTTCGTTCCAAGCGTGCCTGAAACGTGGACACGTGTCGATCAAGCATAAAGATTTCGAGAATTCGTGCTCGGTTCGACTGGGTAACGAGAAATCCCGCCGGGACTATGATTTCTTACCGCTGTGTAACGTTCGCGACCAGCAATATACGATACCCTTCCCATCGTTCATTGACGACCGAGTTGTCAGGACAAGCATATAGGAACACTAGCGTGTTGTGTCCATGTCACTGTGATATGTTCGAGGTGAAACAGCCAATATCAGCAAACAGTCTGCTCTTGTTTGCGGTCAATACAGACGACGAGCAGATTTCTGACACCATTACCGCATTAACAAATAAAATATAATCTTGACAGTTTACTGTTTGATCGCATTATCAAGCTATGCTATGTCGTGTATCGTATTCAGTGATATTTTTAAATGTGTGTGTTATTACGCAAGGAAATACATTTTATCAAAACGCGATAAATACGAGAGACAATTAACAGGATTCATTAAACAGATATTCAGATTCTCGGTCTCGAATAGGCCAACTGCCAACTCCATCGTCCATATCTACATTTCAGTTTCGTTCCAGGTAATTTAACCAACAGTGAAAAAAGGGCGCGGCAGTATTGGAGATATTACATCTATAATGCCGCCTATCGCTCTAGTAACCTTGAAGCATGCCTAAAAACTGTTCTGTATGGTAAGGCCGTGACGGAAACGCATCATATCAAGAATCCAATAGGGCAATCCAGGGCAAATTCTCTTGCCATATATTATTGGTAAACACAAGGAAGACTCCCAAGCACTCACATGCTAATGAGCATTTCACGACGATGGTATTAGCGGCCATGTTGTTCACGATGACGGCCATAACGATGTTGACCTTCGTGAAAGCGGCTTTCGAAGTGTCGAAGGTGTCCTTGTTTGAAGGCCTACGCAGGTCCCATGGTTCTCATTGGCATTGCTTGGTTTTGTTGATGGAAAGAAAGCTGATCGAATGTTGTACAGGTAATGGTCGTTCGAAAACAAACAACCTAAATCAAGTGGAGATCGAATTCGTTATCAACTTCAAGGACTTTTACCTCCCTGCGTCAATATGATGCCATCCATCGGATCGGTGCTGAGCCACGTTAGGAGTCAGCTGGCGTCATAAAAACGCTATTCAGGACGTGAGTCAGAGCTCCGTATAAACGTGATGCTTGATACGTGTGCTTGCCTATGAATTCGTCGGACTTCGAGTACACACGTCCGTTTCAATAAAGAAGATCCAGTCGATTCTCAGATCTAACGGTGTAATTTTGCGTTGACTATCGGTAGGACTGCATAATACAACTAAATACTGTAGTTATAGCCGAATGATAGCACTAAGAAGGCGCCTATATTGTACAACATAATGAGATGTCTTGATTGTGAAATTAAAGAACTTCTTTATTAATGGTAGTTATTAATGGAGTTGGTCGTGAAAACTTGATTCTTTTTGGCTGTGACCAGTTACCATGAGCACTTTGAGTAAGTCTGATTTCTATAGCCAGATATTGCAGGTGCAGACGTGGAGCCTCGAGAAAGTGGCTATCTGTTAATTTTATTAGACGATGTGAAATAAAAGAAGAGCTGTTTGCTATACCACTCGTTTTACTATAGGCCTATCTAGTGAAGATCATGATAATCATAAGGCAGATGCGAAAGCCTCTCTCATTGACCTCTTGACGACAGTTCAGGTTTCCTAATTTGAAAGAAACTGATAGATACAAGCCCTTTAAATAAATGTTCTCTATATATATATATAACTCTATATA